TACCCTGTGTTTTGAAGGACCAGGCAAAGAACAGGAGCAGTACAACTGACATAACCTAGACCCGACACCATTGAGTAAAGTTCGTGTACTATATTGAGCCAGTCGGGAATCGAACCATACAACGAACAAAGCAATGAGCCCATCACTGCATCACGGAAGTTGTCCATCAATTGCGATTTATTTTGTGGGAAGTAATGAATAAAATCACTAAAAGAAAAATTTAAAGAAGCAAATATTGTCACTATTCAATAGCTTCACAATTCATATATACAAACATTTTGTATATACGCAGGAATTTTCAACTGTTTTTTAAAAACAGCGATCTGAGCAATTTTAACACTAGATACAAATACAAACTTGCTGTTCCGAAGTATCGTTTAGAAAAAGTTAATAGGTCTTTTATGGGAACTGGCTTTAAATGTTATAATACCGGAGAGTATTTTGGACCTATTTTTTAATAAATTTAAAACTGTTATTAAAAAAACACTTATTGAACAAAGCCTATTATTGCCCACTAAACGATTACTTGATTGACCAACGTGCATGGTATTAGTCGATCATACACAGGCTTTTCAATGACCATGTTAGACACAGTATAATTAAATAAATAAACATAATGTTAACAGAGATTTATAAAAGTAACTGTTGAATTTCTTGCGGTATCTTCTCAACAGATAACTTTCCGAACCCTGCAGTTTTTTTTCAAGTTAATTTAATTAAAAATTATTTAAATTTAAATTTAATTATAAATATTGTTTGATTAATTTTGTTTCATTGATATGTATATGTATGTGTATGTATGTATATGTATGTGTATATGTATATATGTGTGTATATATATATATGTGTGTATATGTGTGTATATATATATATGTATGTGTATATGTGTATATATGTATATAATTTTCATATATTTTTAATTTGCAAAAGATGCTTTTAATTATAAATTTAATTATACAGCACTATCATACCTGCTTGTACAACAATTAGTCCATTACCTTAAGGTTGTCTTGAAAAGATTGCTCTCAGCAATAAGACCGCCTTACTGTACTTATACAATTGTATCGTTGTGTTTGTAAATTGTCTTGCTTATTTCCTATATTGTATAATGCAAATAAAGTATACTCATTCATTCATTCAAATATTTTTAAACAAGGGTACAATCAGAAGTTAGATTTAATATCTATAAAGTGAAACGTTTGATTCAAATTGAATAATTCATGGCTGTTAGTTGAACATGGACTCGGCGGAACACTGGTTCGCAAACAGGGACACCTCTCAAATTGCATCAGAAATTCTATTGTAGCCACTGTGTTAATTGTTGTCACAATCATTGACGTTCACGACTGGCTGGCTGCGATCAATTCACAAATTGTGGTTGTCTCGTTTTGCCTTGTATTAATTTCCAATAATTTAAAAGTAAATTACCTCCTTTTTTATGAGTAGTCTTTCTCAATGCGTAGGAAAATTATTAATTTGCATATTTTATACCTGACGTGTAACAAGCAATCTTCACATATTTTTTTTTGTCTTAATTTTTTTTTTTTATTTTATTTAATACAAAAAATCTACAGCTCTCATAAAAAATTACTTACATGCTAAGTCTGTTATGTGTATATGTATAGCCAATAACAGATTTTGATTATATAAATGGAAATTATAAGTCTAAATCAAGTAAGGCAAGTTAGAGTGGGTGTATGTGAAAGAGAATGAGCTCCCTGTCGAGGTTTTCCCAAGAGACTACATCATGGGGTTCTTCAAAAGAGGGCAAAGAGGTTTCTTCAGGGTCGGCAACGCGCGCGTATGTCCATGGTACTGCTCATCTCTATAGGCGACGGTTACCACTGTCCATAAAGTGGGCCGTCAGCTTTTTTGCCATTCTAAGTTGCATAAAAAAATCTATGTAACGTAAAAGTTAACATAAAGATATAAAATCAAATAAAATAAATTCATAAAAAAAACGGCTGTTGCGAACAGGTGCTTTATATACAATTCAGTCGCAAGTAAATTAAAATAACTTCATTTAATATTATCAATTAACTACAGCAGTTATATTTCTCACGATAACTTTAAATATAGCCCTACAAATACCTACATGACAGTTCAAACTAAAAAAGTTGATACAATTACAATCTAATACTTACATGACCAAAATAGATTGTAAATTCTAGTGAAGTTTTTAACGGACTTTAAAACATTTTAATTTATTAGGTTTACCAGAAGAAATTTTGATTATTGTTGTCGCCGTTTGATTCCGGCATAGAATAGGCCACCTCTTCCTTTCCCGTGAGTGTAGTAAGAAACGACTAAAGGTAATAATAGTCGAGGGATGGGCAGCAGTATCTCTCTTAAAACATCTCTAAGGTCTAACTGCGGTTGCTAATCCGCCTGGCAAGCATAGCAAACACAGCAAACACCCCAATAGAGAGAGGCCTATATTCAGCGATGGACAATTAACGGTTGTATGGTAGAGGTAATCTGATAGTATTATTTTATATATATATATATATATATACATACATACATATCTGTCACGCCTGTCTCCCATTAGGGTAGGCAGAAACAATGGAACGCCAAATGCTTCGATTCAAACAAACCTCTTTCGCTTCTTCCACATTCATCAATCTTGTCATACACGCTCGTCGGTTACGGGTACTTTTAATTTGGCCCTTCTTCAGCACGTCGCCTATTTGGTCGACATACGTCCGTCTAGGGCGGCCCCTACCGACATCTCCATTCATTCTTGCTCGATAAATCTCTTTCGTAATTCTTCTTTCATCCATCCTCTCCAAATGACCAAACCAACGCAACATTCCTTTTTCGATTTTGGTCACTACATCGACTTTCAGTCCACACTTCTCTCTGATCACACTGTTTCTTACTCTATCTTTTAAAGTAATACCACACATACTTCTCAAAGCTCTCATCTGTACAGCATTTATCTTACTTTCATGCTTCTTCTGCCATACCCACGATTCGCTTCCATACATGAGTGTTGGTGTCAGTACTCCTTGAATTATAGCAAGGCGAGCTTTGCTCGATACATTTTTACTTGACATAATCGAGAGCAATGCACCGTTAACACTGTTTCCCGCTTTTACTCTCCTCTCAATATCTCTTTCACACTTCCCATCCCTCGTAAACAAAGAACCTAAATATAGAAACTCACTCACTTGCTCCACTTTTTCATCTCCTATCATAATCTGGCATGCCGTTAAACTTTCATTCCTCTCAAAAACCATTACCTTCGTCTTCTTCGCATTTATTTTCATACCTTTTCTTGCATACGCTTCATTCATTATAGTCACCATTTGTTGTAATTCATACTCCGACGATGCAAAAAGTACTTGGTCGTCGGCGTATAAAAGAGTCTTAAACAGAGACTCATTCATCCTGAATCCACAATTAGATCCTTTCAAATCGGTCAAGCAACTGTCCATAAATAGGTTGAACAGCCAAGGAGACGCTACACAGCCCTGTCTAACACCGCGTTCAATGCCAAACCAGTCTGTATAGACTCCATTTATTCTGACACAGGCATTTGAATCCTTATATAAAGATTTGAATGCCCGTATCAAATGGCTGCTCACCCCATACATTGCCAGTGTTGACCACAGTTCATTCCTCTCCACTCTATCATAAGCCTTTTCAAGGTAAAACTAGTTGAATATATATATTTCAATGAAATTCTAAAGCCACTACCTGTTTTCTAATCGCTAATTACAGGTCTACAATCGCCATATAGATAGTGCAGCACTAATAGATCATATTTTATCTAAGTTTCTATGCGTAGCGTACATAGACTAAGAATAATAGTTATATACAATAGAACGAACGTTATTAATCTGCTGCGAAATTAATTATTGTGCAGACTAAGAATAAAAATCAATCAGTGTTTATAAAGGTTTATAAACAAAAATCTAATGTCAACCTAAAATAAACGTCATAACACATTGCGTTTTTTACCGTCAGGTGGAGCTAGCGTAGAGCATCCAACAGAATAGTGATGTTAATTCAAATATCGATATACTTGGAACTAACTCGTTTATTTAGTAGTTAATTTGTAAATTTTGAGTCCTAGATATATAATTCAAATTCTAATATAGATTCCATGTGACTATCAATAATTTATATACTAATTAAACGATTTATTACAAAATCTATAAACATTTGATAAACTTTGCATTGGCTATAATTATTCGATTACAGCCAATTCTTAGATCTTTATTTAAGCTGTCAAATTTAATTATTTATTTGCCAAAGATATCCTTTGAGCTAGATACAAGCGACCATGGTCCCTATCCGCAATGCATTGACCCAAATCCTTTATAAAAGATTTCGCTTCCGTTTCTCACACATCCGTAGTCATTCATAAGCAACATTGACGAAATTTTGATACAACCTGCTTGCATATTTTCTATATAAACTGTGTCGAATATATAATCTACTAATGCAAAATTTGTCAAATAATTGACATATCAAACATTTTCTATATACTAGCTTGTTCTGAATTAAGAAAAAGAGCAACTGGTGGTCTATCTTTCGGCCTCTTGTTGCTAATTATATTTGCATAAGAAGAAAAGAGGCGACCATATGATTTACAGTTTTTATTTTTGTAATATTCATATTAGGTAGTCAATAAGAATGAAAGTCTAATTCGCCTGAATTTTAGGCATGCTTCTAATATTTAATGGCATCACAACAATTTTATCATTCTTTCTATGTAATTCCTTGTTCTTAGAGTTAAATATAGAAAATTATATTGAAATAAGTGACAAATTGATTATTAACTTTAAAGAAAAATAGAAAATAAAGCAAAAATCGAATCGTTGATGCAAATACAGATAGGAAAATTTAATATAGCATATATTATACTCTCTGTACACATTTTTAAAAATAGATATTTTTTTAAATTGTGTATTTTTTTCGATATTCAATTTTTTTTAAATAGAATATCGAAATTATTTTTGTACCATCACTAGTTCAGTGGTGGGCAGTACAATCGATCGAATCGTTTCGTTTCTTTCGAACTTATCGACTTGTGATGTCAACACAAGAAACGCCTCAAATAAATTTCAATATTTCCATTTGGAGCAAAAAAAGAAATGTTTTTACCCTGACAGTGAACTATGATCATTACAACACTTATCAATATAAGTAAAAATGCTGACTATTTTTAGTGATGAGTGTTGGCCAATAAAAAGGAAATTCAAAAGTCTACTACGCGGTGATAATGTGTGTCAAATATAGTGCTATAATACTCCATAGAAGGTGTGGAGAATCGTGAACCTACCTAGTTTTGAGTACTGAATTGTGATAAAGTAGTGCCAATGGCTTTAAATGAGTGGTTCTCTCGGTTCTTTCACAACCACAACGTCATGGCGCCGTTCCAAAGGTTCTACCGGGCCATGGTCCTGAAAATGAACCAACGTGAGTACAGAAGTTCATCTATTATCTGCTGAACTGTACACTGAAATGTCTACAAACATGGATTGTTCTATGGGCATTGCAGGTCATGGGGTCATGCTTTCTCCTCTCAGTTATCCTATAAAACATTTCACTAGATTAAATATTTACATCTTTGGTATGATATAAATTATGTAGTAGTATATGTTCACCTGTTTTAACCTAAAAAAAACTTCATTTACAACCACTGGATTTGACAATATTTCTAAAATTTGAAAAACTAACAGCAGATTCTCCCACTTTTTTTTGTACTGACTTAGCAAAAATCCTTTTTAGTAAATGCAGAAACCTATGTAAAGAATTTTCTCGAGTAGTCTTTATCTAAAATGGAAGTGATAAATCAGCGAGCGATATTCTTCATTTATTTATACTACTCTAATATTAGAAATAAAAAGACATAGTGTAAACTGACACAGTTTTGTTAAATTATTTACATAATTTTTTAAACATGTTAAAGATAAATAAGTATTTAAATTGTTGTACTTCTCAAAATATAGAACAGTTCCTAATATTAATTTTTTGTTCTGAATGCTATTTGATATTTTGACGTTATAATTCATTATATTTAAACCGCTAACGGCTATCTGGAACTAAATTCATCGTAATTTATATTTACATGTGTTACGATGTTTGTAAACGTATAATTGTAAATGATAAGATATATAATATTTCGAGTGAATGGTTGCTCCAATTATTCTCGGAATAGTTGAAGGAGTTTTAACTATTATATTTTATCTTGTACCTTATCAAACTAATAGGATTGTGGTTAATATAGATAAAAAAATATTTTTAATATTTAAATAAATTTCTTATGAATATAATTATTATGTTTATGTAATTAATTAAGTTATTTATCTAATTTAAAATATGTCTTATTAACAATTATTGATATAATTTAATCATGAAGATAAATATACAGCATATGTTGATATCATCACTCGTACTTAACTGTCAATCTGTTTAATATTCAATAACTCATGCCAAGTCCTACATTTGGTATTCTAATACAGCTAGACAGCAAGCCTAAAGTATAAGTTTACCATGAAACATATAACCTTGACCTGTAGACCTGGAGGTTGCTGTTGCTTGACCTTGCCTCGTGCCCCAAAGGGCTGATAATGATCAGGGCATATTTTATTCAAAAACTTTATACTGGCAACTATTATTTTCTAACTGTTTATTTGTAATTGGGCAATCAATATGAATACTATGTACAATTGCTGTACTTATTAAATTTCTTTTTAAAAAATCCATTTATAATTTGCCTGCTACCTGTTTTATCTATTGTACATTGTTTATATTGTTTCATTTAGAGGAATTTTGAGTATTTTAATGTTTATTTCTGTACTATCCAGATAATTATACCATTTGTAGATGACAGACTGGCCAAAATTTGGAGTTACAGAAGGACATAGGTGTACAGGTAGAGATGAGAAGTCTAGCTCAGAGAACATCCTCTAGTCTAGCTCTCTAGTTAGGTAATCCTGAGAAGGAATAATTCTTAGTACTCAGCATAACTAGATAAAATACCTTGAAGACTTTTAATATTTACTTAGTGATATTGTTAGTATAGTAAGACAATTTCTGATGTAAAACCTTATAGTCTAGTAAATATGCTACCACCAATTTAAATGGAAACAAACATTATTAAAAGGCACTGCATACCCTCTGTTTAATGTCAACTCACCATTTCTTATAATTGACTGGGTCTGCACTGTTTCATAACAAATTTGCAATGATAATCCAACGTATACTTAGGACCTGTTTTTTTTATGTTAATGAATAACAGTGGAATGGCAACTCTACCTGCCCTAACGGTATACACCAGCAGGATACCATTGAGAGATGGTAGATGAGGATGAAAGCAGTTCAGTTAGCCTATTGTGATGAATAGTCCTGAAATTCAGCACAATGGTTTCCTATCTAGCTAGCAATAGGATTCTCAGTCTCCATTACTGACAATCCCTTTCCCCCCTGTATTGATATATTAGGTACTATATATGGCCACTTCAAAGAGTCTCTATTCAGTATAACGCATCCAAGTCATACCCAATATTTGAAAATGTTGGCCAACTTTACCAAGTTTTAAAGTTACGTGGCGATACCCAAAAAGACATTTATGGGATGAGGGAATGTAGTTCTTTCACGTGATTCATGAAATAAGCGATAATAGACGCTGATGATCAATGCCAGTCTCTGTCAACATTTGTTTTTTAACATTTAAAGAGAACGACCATTCCTTTACTTAGCAGTGACCTAGAGTCGCCGTCGTATGACATCGAGGCGAGTCTAGTGCGCCGACACTTATCCTTAAGGTCACCACGCACGAGTAGTTTTAATACGTATATACTCAAAGATTCTCTGTACAGTAATCGTGACCTAAATACATTTTTCTTGTAATCTCTATACTCCTCTCCATCCAAAGATTGTCTGGAAGAGATCGCTCTTAGCGATAAGGTCGCCCATTGTTTTCTCACTGTGATTATTTCTTGTAATTTTTTATATTTATAATAAGTTTACTATTGTAATCTTTTGGAGGAAACAATAAAGAGTATCTGTCTATGTATCTCTTTGCTTTACTCATTATTAATTAATGATCAATTTCTATATGAAAAGAAAATAAATAGCATGTCATCAATATTCATAACAAGATTTTATTACAATTTATGTTCCGTATTTTGTAAATTAAGTATGTCTTACCAATCTAGTTATCGTAATTTCACAATCTGAGATATTGGACAGATCACTGCAATAATTACCTTCATCATCATCGTGTCAGCCCTTAACTGTCCAGTGCTGAGCATAAGCCTCCCCCTTACGAGGTTTTGCCAGTAGTTGGCACGCTTGTCAGGCGGATTGGCAATCGCAGTCAGGCTTTAGAGATGTTTTATGAGGGACGTTGTTGCCCATCCTTTGCCCTCCCTTAGTTGGCTCTTACGACACCCACGGGATAGGAAGGGGTGGGCTATTCTATACCGGGATCACAGGGCCAATACTTACCTTACGCACTACATATGTATTCACCGGATAAACGGTATGTTATATTTGTCTATATAGGTGATAGTGAGTCCCGTCCTCTGATTTTCAACATCACAGCTGTCACAATTGCTGACTCATAGGGGTAATATTATCATTCGAAAACGAACCTAGATACGATGCCTAGTTCTACTGCATACAGTCGCATTTAGATTCCGTAATTAGGTATTTACACTTCGTTAATTGCAAGCTATTTAAAAGTTAAATTAGTGTTGGTTAACATTCTAGCAGGCCAGATGGGCTCACCAGAGGTGAACGTTGGAGGCGCTACGGATTCCGAGAAAGTTCTAGTACAGTATAAGTAATAATACTAAATTTCTAGATTAGTCTGTTTGTGGATTTGGGTAATCTAATTCGTATATTTCGGAAAATGCTCTCAATTTTAATAATTTTTAGTACCTGATAGTTACGAAATTTTGTTGCGTCCAGAAATTCTGTTACAACCAAAGATGGAAAAAAAAAATACTAATACTATTTTTTAAAATGGATGGCAATCGAATGGGAAACCCCGCTCGTGCTAACGGTATGTACCGGCGGGGCAACAGTGAAAATGTAAAGACCAGGTCAGTTAGCCCATTGTGATGAATACACCTGGAATTCAGCACCATAGTTTCCAGAAAGGACTACGTGGAGGTCGGCCAAGAGGAGTACATAGCTAGCAATTGAGCCCTCACTTTCTATTACTAACAACCCCCCCCCCCCCCCCCCTCCTAAAATACTACACTCGTCGAGTAATTGTGATTGTAATAAAATAGCCAAGAGCACGATATCAAAGGAACATCTTGCAGCTCCGTTTTTCACGATAAGCTGCAATTTGAAACGATAATGTTATGGCCTCTTTAATAAATATTCACCAGAAGCAGTTTTTTTTATACAACTTAGAATGGCAGACAAGCTGACGGTCCACCTGATGGAAACTGGTAACCGTCGCCTATAAAGATACATATAATAGTTCCCTGTATGCTCTAAACCAATGTTTTTCAAGCTTTTTTCATGACACGAGCTTCTTTCATAGTATGAAAAAATATTTCACGATCCCCGAAATAAATATGAAATAATGTATAATATATAATAATTTTCCATAAAACAGTTTTATGCATTTACATAATTAGGTTTCGGATAAATAAAGAATTAAGTACATATTTTTACATCGAATACATTTTTTTCACGCGTTGAAAAACGCTGCTCTAAACAAATAAATTTTTCCATTTTATTATATTAAGTAGTATAGATAAAACGTACCCGTAGTATAATATCTAATGCATGAATTGAATCACACAGTGGAACTAAAAGAATAAAAAAATACATATAATATAAAATTGCAGCCAGCTGTGCAAAGAGCGAACCGGTTCTTGACACGACAGACGTAGTACTCCCTGTGTTATATCTATAGATGAATAGGAACAAGAACTAAATGTGACTTAATATGGTTCTCTCTTCTTTATTGTCACGGTAATACTACAGTATTACCGTGAGACGAGCCTACTTCTCATTGATGCGCTCTGTAACGCGGCACTTTATTTGCCTTCTCGTTAGTACATTTAGGCAGCTATCTACGTGGGTACGTGGTAAATTACCACCGGCAATACTTTACAGGGCCGTGTGCGTGTGTATACAAGCTCGCTGTGAACTCATATTGTTTCAGAAATCATTTCTAATTCTTGGTATGGAGACAATGAAAAGGCATTGCCCGAATGATAATATGTACTGTGCATTTTATGGTGACCATGGCAATGTCTATATACAACAGATTCATTCATTCAAACACATTCTATCAGGTGGGCTGTTAGTTTTGTTGTGTTTGTATTTGTAATACAAAATGGAGGTCCTATGGTATGGTGCACATAGATAATTCCTAAAGATGATGCCAAATATGTTTAGATTATATTTTTTGATGGAGAAAAACATGCTCGCGTGACCATTTCGCT